ATTGTCTCCCTCAGGGTGCGCCACAAAACAACTGTCCCAATCACTGCTGATATCTATCCCTACTACTATGTGTTGTCACCATCGCTGTGGTATTACACAAATCCGATGCTATGTAGTTGTCCCCCCTACCGCCCTCCACCCTAATCCTGTTGAGCTCTGTACTACTAAATTCAATCTACTACTTCTCCTTTGTGTAAATGTCTTCTTTTTTTATACCATCTCAGATCGAAACGGTCCTTAATTACGAGCAATACATGATACAACAATCACATTCTCCTGCCCTAAGGCTGCGACCATCGACCTCGTCTCTTGATTCCTTCACTCCTCTTGTCCTTCATCCCTCAGCGAGTGTTTAGAACGGCTCGATTCTGCCCAAGCTGCTGTTGCTGCTTTTTCTACATATACTATCTCAACAAAAGGTAAAGCTACTACAAGCAACTATAATCATAATTCTAAGGTCAAGTGTCCTCAACAATTCTGTGCGAATCGAATAGCGGTGACACACTGAACACGTGTCACCATGTCACGAGTTATGTCGTGTCACCACTACTAAAATCCACGCCGATCTCAACAGATACCATAAACACTATTTTCGTTAACTTGGTAGATGTTGAAACTCTCGCGTATGCATATTTCGATTCGTATACCATCTACTGCCACAACCCGACACTCTACTGAGCTAGCTGAGCAAAGGTGACAGATCTACCATCTATTAAATATTAACATGGTATACTGGAGTTTCACCCGTTTTACGTGAAGTGGCATAATACTCTGTGGAAACCCCGATGCAGTAGCCGTGAAATATGTTTTTCACTAGTGTTTTTCATATCACTAGGGTGATGAAACTCCACTGTTCTCCTCTGCTAGCCGTTCACGTCGAAATACTCGCCGAACATAAAAAATTCCGTGGAAACCCACCACAAGCAACCATACAAACCCGAATGCAATTTCGGCTGTCAACACAACAACACTCCAGCCAGTATAACGAGACATGTCTAATTCGAAGTACTGCTGACCCTGGACTCCCTCTCCGTCTTCACCAGGCCATACAGGTCTTCCCTGAGTGATATGATGATTTTCATGCAAAAGGAGTTGTTGTGCATTGTGTCTTTTCACCCCTGTTTAGACACAGATTACATTTACTAGCCCTATGCGAATCTTAGCGCTAGGGGCCTTCATATATCTACTTATTATGTTAAGTAAACTTCCACGAAAACTTTACGTACTTGGCGTTAATCCCTAAATATTTGAACTTTTGAGACAGACAGGAATATCGCGAGTGATGGTATCAAAAATTATAAATCTATTCCAGAATCAATCACGACTTTACTTGTGCATGTTAATGTGCAATTGTGCACATTTACTTGTGCAATTTGACCATGTGCATATTCCCCCTCCCCATACCTTGACTTAGTCAATGTAGGAATATATGTTTGGTTTCCTCAACTGAGCTCGTAAGTTTTCTCACTATATTGTGAAAAACCACACGACTTCGGGTAGAAGTGTACAAAAACCTAATAGTTAATTTTCTCATATTTTCGAATTGTCACCAACACATGTAGTTGATCATGTGCATAGTTTTCTCAGAATTCCCATATTTTTATCAACACATGTAGTTGATGGTGTGCATGAGTTTCCTTCACACTGACTTGCTCCCCAGCAAAACACATTCTCACCTCGTGAAGAATTCCGCAGCATAAGCGACAACGTTTTCAGGACGATCCTCTAAGGCGCGACGGATGAATGTGCTGATCAACTGTCGTAACTCTGGATGAGCTTGCATGTACTGCTCGTTCGACAAAAACATGGATACCTAAAAAGTGCCTCATCCGGGCCTAAAGTGAATCTTACCATGTTGAACCTCAAGATACGCCCCTCCCCCTCCTCACCTGCTTAGTGTGAAGCTTCTTTTTCTGGTCTCCACTCAACTGAGCCTCCTTAGAGCACAGGTCTGCTACCAACCTCCCAGTTGCTCTCGGTGGCACCTTCTTAGCAGCACTAGGGGATTCCAAACTGCCCGACATGTGTGAGAGCAATCTCAAAATATTGATTATCGTCACTGCTACACAGATCCTTATTTTTGGAGTGAATCAAACAATGATTTTCCTCTAGAATAACTATGCATGCAGAAAAAATCATCACTAAAGAATTTTTTCTGCGGAAATTTCGAAACGCAAAACCAATTTTTTATCAATTCAACCGGTCGGCAAACGGTTCTTCACTTACGTCTCGAAAGAACTATGACATACACTTGTTTGACTATGCTTCGCCGAAAATTACTGTTAGCAATAATAGAGGTTAACTTGTGCACCGATGCGGATGGTCGCGTCGCTCCGCTACCAATTCGCACTGCAGACCGGGTGTTGAAAAAAGCTATTGTCAAACCCAGGAGCTCTCCCAGGAGAGGAGTGCGTGAAAACGTTATTCAGCAGCACTCTCAGGAGCCTGTTTTGTGTTGTTTCTTGGCAATTTGGTGATGATCGACCATGACCACGACTGTCGTGGTCATGGGTCACGGTGATAATTTCGTGGCGCGTGACAAAAAATCCCAAGGCGCGACACACATCACGTCATGCCGTTCGCAGTTGATGGAGGTTCTGTGATGGGAGTTTTGGCAATATGTCACGGGCGAGGGTGGATCTCACAAACCCATGTGAGAAGCAGTCCACGTCCGTGACGCATTCAGTGCCCGGGATAAAACACGGCTATACCAATCAGCCACCGTGCAGATCCCGGGTGAATGCCCCCCATCTCAGATAGAAAAAAAAAATATAAACACCGTCACACCCAAGATAGCTCGTCTGATGCCTAACTAAGAGTGCTTGAGGGTTTCCAACAGGAATTCTCAAGCACTTTGGGGAACTTTCTCTGTTCTTGGGTGTGTGGTCCGAAGGTGATCAGACTGGATCACTGCTTTAGCAACGACTTGACGTCTTGCTTTTCTCTTGAAATTCCGTCATCTGTCTTTCGGCTATCCGTGAACTTGCTCTCTTGGGAGACCTTCACTCACGTCATGCCGTTCGCAGTTGATGGAGGTTCTGTGATGGGAGTTTTGGCAATATGTCACGGGCGAGGGTGGATCTCACAAACCCATGTGAGAAGCAGTCCACGTCCGTGACGCATTCAGTGCCCGGGATAAAACACGGCTATACCAATCAGCCACCGTGCAGATCCCGGGTGAATGCCCCCGCCTCATGTTGCCAAACCTCTCCCGCGTGCATGTTCGAAGCTCCATACTTGAATGCCCAACGGGTTAATTGAAGGTGTTAGCAAGTTCACGCCTGGGTTTTATGTCAGTGATCTGATCCCTTCCGCCGTTCTCGGGTCCCCAACCCATGAAACACAGGTGTGGCCTTGTTACTAATCACTCTTAAACACAAATCCTAGTGATCCCAGAAACACCTTATCCGACCATCCTCAGACTATGCGGGCAGCGGGCCTCGATCACAATTACTTATGAGTTCGTGACTCAAGGACTTATATGGAGTTCACCTCCTATCCACCTAGTCCAGAGGGCGGTGTACGTATTCTCTCACTATAGCTGCTCCGTGCCTGGCGAGTTTTTTGACCTCCTCGTCCCCATATGTATGGATCATCGCGTCTTGGCGCCACCGCGATATTCCTTTGGTAATTGGCCTTGGTGCATCGGCACGCAAGTGATATACTGTCCCACTTCTACGGCAGGAATGACCAGAAAATTTCAGAGACTGCATAAGGTCCACCTCGCCAATAGAGTCCGGTAGAAACTGGGCCAAGCTTTCAACTTCCGCCGTAGACTTCTTATAGATTTTGTGAAAGATTCTGAGTGGCCTGGCCGTCGCGTCTCAGAGGCTAATCATAGTGTGGCAGCAGCACCATTTCCCCCTTTGTTCGCACACATCCTTCGAAGCATTACACGAGGTCTCCACGTACTCAATCTTGTTGACTTTGGTGATACCGAGGTGTATTCTAATATGAGTCCCAGGGACCCCAGGTAGTATCTCAGTGATATCCTGGCTTCTTACGCGCAGCAACTCGCCGGACCTTAAGCACGGTGATATCCCGCTGAGGAGAGCTGATCG